TGGAGCCATGACAAGCAGACCATGCTGGCATGCACAAGTTTGCACTCATACCCTTAGCCAGATTTTCATAAACCACCAACAGATATCTTGGGAATATTAATCCAGAAAGCCAAGTAAATGTCAAAGAAATGAAAGCTTGAAAACCCCTTCAGAAAGAAACAAAGGAGAGGTGTCTTTTAGGGATGGGAATGGCTATCACTGTTACTATGAGGACAAGAAGCATATGCATGAAGTTAAATTTTTCTCAAGGCTCCAGGCAACAGACACAAATGCAGACCGCGTCTGCACGGCAAACACAAAACCCATATGGACCTGAAGGGCATGTAGGTAGCACCCATCCACATACAAAATGAATTATGAATGACCTGCATTCTAGCTTTTAAAGCAACAGTGTGTCACCAGAGGCAGAGCAGCCATTTGGTTCTTCTGTTATGGAAAATTTTTCAATCGTATCTGTTGGAAGGACTACATACACCAGAAACAGACCCATAGAGCAATGTTCTGCAACCAGAGTCAGGCCCACATACCAGTTCCGAGAGCAACCTTCCCCCATCTTAACGTGTATCTCATATGAGACAGACGATCTCACCTTGTAGCATCAGAGCTAGACCCGTTACAAATAACATCTTTTAAACTGTCAGATATTTCAGCATTAATCTCTGGAAGGGGCAGTAAAATGCAAATGCATAACAAACCTTAAATAAAAATGGTAAAAGCAGTTTATCTTTTGAAAGGCAGGTGCCAAAGTAGCAGAGCGACTTAAAAAGATGATTATAAAATACATTTTGTATCAAGAGAGCATAACAATAATAATAGTAGTAGCAAAGAATAATAAATGTGCAAAATACAGTAAAGACTTACCAAACACTGAATTCATGATAAACTGGAAATAGAAACAAGGACATATAAACCAGAAACCCAGGGAGTAGCTTCACATTCAGAATGACAGAAGTAAATAAGAGACATAACCCCAACTTGCCTTAAAAAAAGATGAGAAATGCGCAGCACTCTCTGAACATTTCTCATGTGATACAACAAATTAGAACTGCTTGCAGAGAGAATTTGGCTGCTGTTTTTCTAGTCTTTGTATCTGTCCCAGCACCAGGCACGGGGCCAGGCACATAGTTGGCATGTAGTAAGCACATGCAATTAAATGTTCATTGATAGCCATTAAAAAGCAAGGAAGGAACAATGTCCAAAATTACAAGCAGCAGAAATGCATCCTCCCCATATGGTCTGCTATCAATGCAAACTAAAGCCTTGACACACAATCTGGTCCTTGCACAGGCCCATGAGGTACTGATCACAGCGTGGATACTTGAGCAATCATATGGAGGAAGTCGGGAGAGCCTTCGCAGGGTGAAACCAAATGATTTGTTCATTTCATTTATAATTCAAGTATTAAAGAGCCCACGTTTATAGCTGGACACAGTGGCGTGCACCCACAGTCCCAACTATCTGAGAGGCAGAAGTGAACTGACTGCTCAAGTCCAGGAGGTTCAAGACAGCTGGGCAATATAATGAGACCTCATCTCAACAATGATAACAAAACAATCGATATTCCAATGGACAAAATCCACTGCTCATTTTCAAGAATATATTTAGGGTGGGCTGGGAATGGGGCTCAGTGGTAGAGTTCTTGCTCTGCATGCACAAAGCCCTGAGTTTGATCTCCAGCTCCACAATAAAATAATAATAATAATAATAATAATAATAAGATATTTAAGGCATTTTCTGATAACTTAAAAACTTCCATCTTATCCAATTTTGTAACTAAACTCATGATTTGAAAGCTTTTTTAAAAAAAATGCATTCCTCTACATATCAATGTTCCAATTTAGAAGGGCCCATTATTCTCCTACATGGGTTTAACGATAGAAGAAACAAAAGTATAAGTCATTCTCAGAAGAAAACAGACAACTCTTTTGTGTCTGGTTCATAAGAAGGACATTTTGCTCCAAAGAAATACTTTAGGATCTACAATATCCGTGGTGCAAAGTTTAAATGAAGAACGACTTCTTAACTCCCTGAGAAAGGTGTTTTTGTTTGTTTGTTTTGTTTTTTAACATGAAGCTCTTCCACTGTTGCCAGAGGCAGGAACAGGCACAATCGCTCCATATTGTAATGATCCCAACGTGGAGCTGATGGTTGCCAAGCCAGCAGGGAGAATCTGCTTTCCCTCTCAATTTCAGTCACATCTTCTCAAATAAAGAATCCATGAAGTCATTCCAATACCTCCCTAAATAAATTCTGTAGTAATCGGCAAAAGCGAAACCTGAAACCAGTCAGTTCTCCAACTGATGTTTCTCTGGTCCTGTAGTTTCTCACAGGTAGAAATAACTTCCTTGAAATCCAAAGTATTTTCTGACCCTACTGTAGATGCCTGAGAAGGATGTCCTCATCCTAGACTCTAACATACAACTTAGAGTCAACTTGTTTGTAATTGCTGCAAAGTAAGTCATGTTACAAAGTGTAACAACAGCTGGACACAGCTGGGCAAGCTTCTTTATTAAGTCGGTCTGGAACTCCAACCTCAATGACGTGATTCACAGTTTCAAAGTCACAGTAGAAATTTACTTCACTCTTTCTTTAGTGAATTAAGCCTTGTCAGATGACAAGGCTCATATAAAGAAAAGAGTCCTCTCATCTTTGATAAAGTTGAAAGAAAATAATTTGTGTCAATTGTATTTAATTCTTATAGGGTCCAAGGCTGAATTACAAGGTGGATTCATATACTCAAAAAGACTGCATGTCAGCCAATCAAAACAGGCAATAAAGCCAGAGAACTTCCCTCCCTAACAACCACAGCAATACTAATAGACGAAATCAGCCAAAAGGTTTCTAGGGACAAAGCTTCATGGAAACAAAGACAGAGGGGTAGATCCCAGTCTTTTAATTCATAAAAATTCAAAAATTAGTTGGACGGAAGTGTTTACAAGTAACGAGAATCACCCCACAGATTTAGCCTCTGATCCTTGATTTAAAGGGAAAAAAGTGTTTTTCCATTGATTTTGGGTGGGAAAAAATGTAGCTTTTGAGCCCAGCACAATGAACTATTTATCTGGCCTGACAAGACCAATCAATCTCCCCACCCTGCTGTTCATTATAAGGAGCAGTAGAATACTGTTAGTCTTGATGGTGTGGGGGAGGGCTGACAGCAACATGGGTCCTGATACACAATGCTACCCTTCAGTTAGAAATTGATGTTTGGCCCAGGTGACCCAGGAGGTCAGTGTGAGGCCTGGAACAGAATGAAGATGGGTTGTTACGGGCTTCATATTTACAGGACTCTATGTGTTTCGGTCTCATAGCCAATTGAGTATATAAAAGGCCTAAAGAATAAAAGGTTGGTCTTGATTCAGCTGCAGGCCTAAAGTAGAAGGCTTTAGAAAGAAGAGTAACTTGTAAAAGCAAGCCATCCTTTTCAATTTTATTTTTCTGATGAAGGAAAAATCCCATTAGAGGAACGCGAAATACAGATTTTCAGTTGTAAAGAAATAATTATCTGAAAAGTTCTACTCCTTTGTTGATTTAAAGTTCTCAGGTAATTTTACTGAACTCATCCAGATAATTACCTTCATTCCTTACCTTAATTAATCCTTCTCTTGTGAAACTAATTAATTACCTTAAGGCACTTACTGATGTTACAAAAACAAGGCTGGCTGGAGAGGCCTTGCTGCTGGTCAGCATGTACACAACTGATGGGCCTGGGGGCCTCAGATGAGCAGGAAGAAGGGACAGCTCAGAGAATCCACAAAGGTTTGGTGGTGCAGAAAGAAGTCTCACTGAATTGTGGCTCTCAAATCCAATGAGGACAGTCTCAGGAGTTTGAGAACTTATTTGCAAGAATACAGGAGGTACTTTGTGAGAAAACTGTAGTTATACAGCAATATATGTGAAATTCTTAAAATGGGAAATCCCCTTCTTTGGTAGGATAGAATTTTTTTAAACAAAAAGAAAGAAACTCTTATAGCTGCTAACCAATGTGTACCTCCAGCCAATATTTCATCTGAACGATTCAAAAAAGGAAATGTAACTGAGGGTAGCTAGAAGGGGTAGAGGAAGAGGCAGGAAGGGAGACACAAAGCTAATGTTTGGAGCACTATGGTCAATGGGCAGCTTATTAGACAAAAACTTAAGCTGTCTTAATTTTATGAAAGATTAGCTGTCTTTCCCCCACGGTTATCTAAACTCATCTCTTCTTGTTGTTAATGAAAGCCACTGCTAATACATTTCTTGCTCTTTTTTGGGGGATGGTTCTTCATTTTCCTTTAAGGAAGCAATAAGCCTAGATAAAAGCCAGCAGCTGAATTCTGACCTACTATGAGCCCTGCCTGACCTACTATGGGCCTGCTTAGCTCAACTCAGCATGTGTCCTGACTGACCCAAGGTCAGCAAAGCCAATGAAGGAACCTGATGTGCCCACAGTTCAAACATTTATCACAAAGGTAATGTGTGGGGTAAACAAAATTCCAACAAGCTGACACTTAAAAATTACCTCGAGGTCTCAAAAGAGGGAAAACAATACTGTCAAAGGTTTCCAAGTTAGACAGGTACATTAGCTGTATCTCTGTACATTCTGTCTCACAAACATGAGTAGGCAGGGCATGTAATTGTGAGCCACAAGTTAGAGAAAGAATCTGACAGAGTTTGCCTTAGATTAAAAGGAGAATGTGGTCAGACACACAGCTTAGCCTGCACCATACCATTATCTAAATTTGCCTCATCCATAAAAATAGATGTGAAAGCAGAAGCTAAAACCCTAGAAAAAAAGCATGGTTTACAAATTTTGCCAATCTTCATCAAAAAAAATTATTAGTTCCCTTTAGCATGGTTACTATGTTATTGGCACTGTGGGTGCCAGATTCTGCAAAATTCAGACTGAAAACCAAGAGGGCAATCTCCATTCAATTTTTCAGCAACACAAATTTGGCAACTCATCTAGAAGTTTCCAAAGTTTGTTTAGTACAGGGAGAAGGGCTCTTTCTCCTTTGCCATACCTCGCTTATTGGTTCTTAAAATGGTTTCAGAAGACAGCAAAGTGTTTCCACTGGACACATCGTGCATGGGCTTTTCTGGAGCTTTGTTGGAGAGAGGGTCTTTCTTCATATCTTTCTTTATTTCCTGTGAGAACAAAGAAAGGAAAACAAGATGAGAAGCTGCAATTCTAGGAAGATTCTCTAAAGTTTCACCTTTATGGAAATCAGGTATTGTAATGTCAAGTCAGCACATCATGTTTCTAAAACCCCATTTCCTAAGTTTTCATAGTTCTTACCTTTCATATATTAGATAAGCACCTAGTCCTATAAAGTAAATGCATGCCCCATATGAAGTCACCTTATATATGCATGCTCATTCCTTATGACCATCAAGAGAATGACTGATACATAAAAGCTACCACACAGCTCTAAATGACAGTTTGTTCTCCTTTTTGAACAATGACAAACTTTGCCCAAACAGGTTCACCCCTTCTGATTTCTATTTGTCTCAATAAGGATTTAAATAGCTATATTCCCACATCACCATCGTGCTCACAGTTATACTAAGCACCCCAAGATGAGTTAAACACATTTACAGTTATCAAATTCCTCTGCCTTTTCAACTCTTTTTTTTTAATGTATTTAGTATGGGGTCTACAGAGTCCATTACACAGATCGGACTCTTAGTGATTCTCCTGTTTTCAGTCTCCCAAATGCTGGGATTACAGGTGCATGCCACCATGCCCAGTCTCAATGGCCATCTCAGCACGCCCTGGGGGCGGGGCAGGTATGCCACGCCATGCCATGCCACACTGGGGATCGAACCCCAGCCCACTGCATCTGCATAAGCAGGCGCTTTAGTCCTCTGAGCTATCTGGCTGGCTCACCTCTTCAACTCTTGACAAAGAAAAATTAAGGATGACAAATCAAAATAACTTTCGAGGCAAGAGGTCAACAAACTGTAGTCTGCCATCCTATTTTGTAAATAAAGTTGCATAGACTATAAGTGCCTTCATGTACATTTTGTATGACCAACTAGTTTGATGCTATAATGCCAGAGTAGCTGCAAGCTTAAACTACCTGATCTGTTACAGAAAGTTTGCTGACCCTACTCTAGGAGATCTCTTACCAAAGCTCCATTTAGACCTGGATTGTTTAATTACAGGTTGATCATCCCTAATGCAAATCCCTGAAACCTGAAAGGCCCCAAATCCACAACTTTATGAGCTCTGGTATGATATCGCAAATGGAAAATTCCACAGCTGACCACATGTGATAGGTTGCAATCAAAACATAAGTGCACTAAAAGGACTGTATAAAAGCATCCAGGCTATGTGTATAAGGTATATATGAAACATAAATGAACTTCATGCTTAGATTTAGGTTCTATCTCCAAGATAGCTCATACAGTAAATGCAAATATTATAAAAAATTGTTTTAATTCAATGTAAAATACTTCTGCTCCTAAGCACTTTGGATAAGGGATACTTGACCTGTACTTCAAATTACTTTAATAACTTTCATAATTCCTTGCAAAAGCAAGAATACCTCAAAATGGCAGTAACTCAGAAAGTGCAGATTTGAACACAGGAATCCTTTCCAAAGAGCAAGGAGTTTCTAAGTTTGTGTGAACCCATGGTCACAATAACTTAGGAAAAAACAAAAACTTGGGAGCTAGATCTAAAGGCTGGCTGAATGGCAGGAAAGACCCACAGATAAGAGATTTATGCTTTAAAAAGAGCCAAGTTAAGAAAATGGCACTGTGATCAATGATGTAGAGTGTGCCTAAGGAGAGTCACATGGAGAGAAACCATTCTCTCAGGCTTTCACAGAGAGCACATTGGCCAAGCAATGGCCGTGACTTATCCACATGGATGACACTGACAAAAGATCCACAACCTGAGGTACAGGATCTCAGGCTAAATCCTGAGTGGATTTCACTGACCTTATCAGATCCAAAAGCTACAACTCTTGTTGCATACGTCTGGCTTTACCTTGGTCTTAACCATCCAGCAGAAAAGTATAAAAACGAAGTATAAGAAGTAAAGCCATGCTGTTATGTTGAGCTGTGGGGGACTCAGGTCAACAATTCTGACACTGCCAGTCAAGCAGAAGATACAATACTATTATGGGCTACTGGACTCTTTTAGAATATTTTGCTGAGTTAACATACCTATAATATTCAAATGACGGTACTAAACAAAAAAGGGGATACAGATGAATGTCCATTTTGTATCTGTGTATTCAAAATGGTTAGGATAGATATATAGTTATATTCTCTTAATGAATAGAAGGATTTGTTCTAATAGAGTTTATAAATAGAATATCATGTCCGCATCTTGTACAGCAAATAACCACTAGGAAGAATGTATGCAATGTGTTAATTATTGAAACGGTCCTACCAATTTGGTCTGAAACTGTCTCATCGCTATTTGTTTATCAATAAAATTATGAAAAAAAATAAAATAAAATATTCCCAGCTAAATCTCAGGGACCCCTAGCTAAGCATTGTATATTGTATTTAGGATATATAGAATATTTTATTTCCATTGTTTTCCATGTTCTTATAATGAAAGGCAATAAAGTACATATTTTAATGCCAAAAAATAAAATAAAATAAAACTCAAAGAAAATGGCACTGAGTTCCCTCTGCAGAATGAGCTGGAAGCTGGCAAATTAAGTCAGGGGCCATGATTAGGCCTAAACAGAGGACAGAGATACAAAGAAAACAGGTAAATGAAACACTGCTATTGCCATCTGCTTTGCATACACTCTAGTATGGTTGAGTTACCATATCCAATTCCCCAATTGCTAGCTGTGTTCACAACAGACTCATCCTCTCTTCCTGCCTCACCAAGATCCCACCGGAAACCAGCAGCTGGGGCTACTGCTTTGCTGGGCTGAGAGATTCAGCTGGTGTCACAGAGCCCTATCCAGGCAGAGCTCAGCCCCAGGTGAACACTTATACCTCTGCATAGCACACAAAGCTGTGCACACATGTACATATGCACAGGACTACCATTCAGCAGCCATGACACCTCCTGGAACAGCAGTTGCTGGGGTTCCTATAGCTTCACAGGCAGACAGCATTAGAGGACAATTTGCAAACTCTGCCTGCTTGAGCCACATGCATGCCTAAGACACATGATAACTGTCAGCCAGCTATGGCTCCAGAAGTAAAGACAGGACACCAAGTACATTCATTTCTCCACTGGTTGCTTCTTTGAGAAAGAAAAGTTGCTCAAGACTCACTTTCCATCATGATGTAGATATGATTGTGTAAGCAAATTTCCCCACCTAGACACAACAGAATTTGGTAACACAGTGTCCAACCTTGCCAAGGAGTGAGTCCACGCAACTCAGTGGTTCTGGGGCAACATGACCAGTGTTTGGTGCACTAACAGCTAAAGGTTTGAAGCTGGAGAAGGGAGAATGAGGATGGGGCAAAGATTATAAGGCTGGCACAGCCACTGGATCATGCCTCAGAAGCTGTGCTTCTCAAGAATGCTCACTGTCCAGTGCTTTATAGCAGCACACTGTGAGCAGCTGGCTGGGAAGGACCAATCTGGTCAAGCACAGATAGGGCCAAGGAAAGAGCAAGAGTAGAAGGCTGGTGCACAAACCCCAGATTTCTTCATTCTCCTGGCGATTGTTTACACTTGCTGGACAGAGGCTGGGGATGTGGCTCAGTGGTAGAACACTTGCCTCACACGACAAGGCCCTGGGTTTGATTCCTAACACCACAAACATTTGCTAGACAGAAAAGGCCAATGTTGACCAAATTTCTTTAGTTGATTCTTAGACTGAAGCAGGGAGAAGACAAAACTTAAAAATATTTCCCACATTTTTCCAGAAAAATCAAACAGGCACATGGACTTGGCAAGGAATTCTACAGGCTCCTCACGTGGACAACATGAGGCTCAATGCAGCTCCACCCAAGGCCAGTACCTTCCTATAACCTGCCCCTTCTCTCAGCAAAATGAGACCTCGCTTATTTAACACCCCCTCATCTACCCATTTTCCCAGGATGGAAAAGGCAGCATTAACTCCCTTGTCGAACTAGTCACGCAGTCTTGCTTATTCTACTTCCTCACTTTTTTTTAACTCTCCATTCCTCCTTTACTATGCCCAAAATAGAAATACTCACATGG